GTCAGCGCGAAAAAGGAGCGGCGAGACGGCGTCGGCGTACATTGGCAATTTCAACAGCGGTTATTATCTCCACGGTTGCCGGCGATGATACTTCACCAACCGACAGAAAGAGACGCTGGAAAAGTCGTTAAACGACCAGAATAATTAACTCATTAGCGAGACGCCGGCAATTCAAATCCGACCGCTGATCGCCGGCAAATATCTGAGAAACTTCAGACAGGGAGCCTCGCATGGAAATTTATCAATCAAGTGTGCAAAGCGGTACCTCACAGCCTGGACTGTACATATACGCACACAGACGGGGTTTTACATGCCGTACTAGCACCTCTCTAACTTGCACCTTGTAGTGAATGTGTAGACGCGTACATGCATGCATCGGGCCCATTTTCGTGCTGAAAAAGTATCGCCTCACCTACATAACCGGCATATGTACGCACACGATGGCACCCACTGTACAGGCAGGCACACAGTTTTTTTTTCATCCCGCATGTAACGTACGTTATCCACTTATTTTGTAACACGTACTTATCTGGCCTACTGTATTGAGGCTAGGGAGCCAGTGAAGCATTGCATAGCCTACTCTACATATAGATGTATATAATTTGAGACAAGACTACACACATCACGAGAATTATTCATCAAATTACGTCAAAAAATTCTGCTCAATAAATATTTCGTTTATCCATCTATTCATGAAATAAGAGCATTTAACCATGACCAGACTCTAACAGCATGCAATAATGATATGAGTAAAACAACTAGCACATTATACAGTACGTAGCTCTGTTAGGCGGAAACAATTAATCCATAACGTTACATATAACATACACGCCCGGGTATAACATCACCTATACCTAGTCAATCACAATGAATCTAGCATGTGCACGTACATGCACGTACGTAATCAATAATAGTTAATACCGGTACTTCAATTAGCCGTAATGAATTCAAAATACATTTTCTGAAAAATCTCCGAAATTGAACACTCTCCATTATCGGTGCAATTAAATTATACACACCTGAACAGTCGCCTGCTAGTTCAATTTTGCTCGTCTGCTTCTGCTTACGATGTGATGCCGCGATCACCGTCTGGATACGCACGTGGCGACAACACAACGCAAGGCAACTAGTGTGATCATCAACTACAGCTGGCAGACGACAACACAGCCAGCGAATGGCAAATTCAGGGCAGCACACACGAGATGCACTCGCATGTGCTGCGAAAAACGAGGCGAATCTACAATGAAACTCCACGTGCGAAGGTAGATTTCCGACGTTGACACGATCAATAATAGAATACCGTAACAATCTGGCGTAAATGCACTCGGAAAACGCGACAGGAGGAACGTACACAGATAAATGATTGAGCTCACCTTAGTTTTCGCTGCCGACCAACGTTTATTGTGCAGAGCTGCGCCCGTAGCGCCATCTGGCGACACGAAATTCAAGTATTTAAACATCGAATCGAGGCAGGGCGCTGGTGATGAATAATAACACTTAAATAAATTAGAGCCATCATATAATTACTATTGTTCTTGTTTTTTCATCTTCATTGTGTCATACTCTTGAATTGATTTGTGATAATTTCGTCTGGCAGATCGCATGCGAACTCAGGGCCAATAACATCCCCAACCCGACCTTGAATAAATACCAGCAAACGAGTAAAAACGCGAATATTTCATTTATGAGCATTTCAAACTCCAATTTTACTTGCTTCACATGCCGTTTTTTTATCAGTAGAAAATGTATTTTTTCATATTTTGAGTATGACGTACGTGCTTTATAATACACACACGCGCGCGCGCACGCGCACGCACACGCACACCGGCACTGCAGCCTAGCAATTGACATGCGCGTCGCATATGCGGCAGCGGTGCCCTAGCGCTACCATATATATATATATATATATATATATACTAATATACTATATAATATATATTATATACTGTTAACGTTGGCCCGCATCAGCCACATTATATGGCAATAAACTTTTTACCAAACTTCAAAGAAGTACAAGAAACTTAGCTAAGGTTAAAAAATACTTTCAAAGACAACCCTGCGTGCCCCCCGTCACGTAGGGTCGTTAAAATGAAGAGCGGTTTGCCCAACTGATCCGTATTAATATGTTATGCTCACAACATATCATGAGAGCTAATGTTATATTTCCCATTTAACTGCTCTTACCCCTCCCCTTCCGTGCCTTCTATTATTGTGCAGCAGGTATCTCCCTCTGTTGGACCGCCGTCGTGTCGTCGTATGCGCGTCATACGACGGAATTTCCGTTCTTTCTCCTCTCTCTCTCTCTCTTCTCTTCTCTCTCTTCTCTCTCTCTCTCTCTCTCTCTCTCCCTCTCCTCTCTCTATATATATATATAATATATATATTATATATAATATATATATTACGAAAATATTCCTGTTACAACACTCTCGCGCTTGCTTTTCTCGTGGTGGTGTGATCACATTAAGAAGCTAATTAGTAGCTACGGAGCTTAGATGAGCATTCACACACGCAACGACACGCGACGCACGCACGCGCCGCTCGCACGCACGCACCACACACACAACCGCACACGACGCACGCACGCACGCACACCACACACAACACGACCGCACGCAACGCACGCCACGCATGTGCCGCACGCACGCCATCGCCACACACACATCACATCATCCACCAACAGCACACACAACACACAACACACAGAGCGCCGCGCACACCACACATCACATACACACCCACACACGCGCGGCGGCGCGCGCGCACGCACACACCGCACAGAAAAGAGAGGAGAGGGAGAGGAGAGAGAGGAGAGAAGAGAGAGAGGCGGAGGAGACGACTGAGAGATGAGGAAGGAAGAAAGCCAGCAGCAAGTTAGGGAAGCAGAAGAGAGCGCACGGCAGCGATGCGAGTGAAGGAGAGAATGAGGAGAGAGCCGAAAAAGAGAGAGAGAAGATGATGAGAGGAGAGAGAGAGATGAGAAAAGCAGAGCGAGGTAAGAACAGAGAAGAAAGCGATCCTGGACTCCACAATGAACGACGAGTAAGAGAGAGAAAAGCAGCAAGAGAGAGCGAGAGAGAGAGAGTCAGAGAGCAGAAAAAAGAAAAAAAGAACAGAGATAGAGAGAAAGGTAGAGAAGGACCGAAGAGAGATGAGAGGAGAGGGAAACAAGAGAAGGAGACCGAAGACAGAGCGCAGTGAGAAGCAGAGAGATGAAGAGAGAGAGAGAGAGAGAGAGAGTATGAGGAAAGAGAAAGCAGAGCCAGTGAAAAAGATGGAGACGCCGACCTGCGAGCGAGTGTGAGAGAGAGAGTATTGAGTATGAGAGAGAGAGAGAGAGAGAGAGAGAGGAGAGAGAGATAGGAGAGAGAGAGAGAGACGAGAGGAGGAGACGAGAGGTGAGCGAGTGAGCGAGTGAGTGCGGGAGAATGAGAGCACGAGAGAGAGAGAGAGAGAGGAGAAAAGAGCGAGCAATCGAGAGGAGAGGAGAGAGAGAGAGACGAGAGAGACTGAGCGAGTGAGGGAGAATGAGAGAGAGATGAGAGAGAAGGCAAATGAGATTCGAGAGAGAAAGAGATGAGAGAGA